TCGGGATTCTTCTTCCATAGAATGAAAATACAACATTTTAGGGTTATTGAAATTGTCGACATGTAATAGACGCAAAAAAAGTCTATATGAAAATTAAATTTTGATTGAAGATGAGCACTAGTAAAGAGATTTTTGCGAGTTTTCTGAAAACTTCTATTGACGATTTTTATGTAGCTTGAGTTCACCATTTCCTTGCTCGTTTTTTATTATTATCTAAGTGATATGTACTTCTAAAAGATCTATCACTGCAAATACTAGAATAATTATTCATGCTTTTCTAAAGACAAACTATATGAGTATGAATTGTAATATATTACATAGATAACAAGAAAGAAAAACAATCAAACTACATCATCATAAAAGATGTACATGTTAGTAGATAACTGCTCTTGTAGAACCATCAAGATCAGAAAACAATATATAGTCAATAAATGCGTAGATAGATAGATAAATGATCAGAAAAGTGATTCAGTCTGTTCATGGACGACTTGATACGTAGTAGGATTAAGTTAAATTATTAATTGTGTCTGTTGCTCTTTAATCAACCGAGCAAGTTTGAATGCGTTGATAATCGTTAGAACCTGCAATAACAAATTGATCATCGAATATAGAAAATATGAAATTATAGGCGAGTATTTACACTTAAAATACTAGCCATAGCTATTAAAATGATAATAATAATCGATGCAGTGATTCCTCCATCGACACTATTTGCTATTGATACATCTATAGTAGTTGTAATGGTGAGTAGTATAACCAGACAAACAAGGCATAAAAGATGTAGGATACCAATCCAAGCAAACTATTACAACGAAAATGAACGACAGAAACAATGAATATAAAATCATACTTACAATAAGAATACCGATGCGAACATATTTAATAACCACAAGAAGAAAAACTAGTTCATAGATTAGTGCAATAACACCTACAGAAATAAAATGAAACATGAATATCAGAATAAAATCAATGACTTACTTGCTACCACAGTACCAATGTAAGTGTTAATGTACACATTATCACGATCGTTTTCGTTAGAGTAAAGATAACTGATTAGTATGATTAAATGTCGAATAAAATAGACTAATACAAAAGCCTAGATAGAAATGTTAAAAGTAGATCAAATTCGATTTCATTTCGACATGAATCTTTCTTTCTTTTTTTTATTTAGAACGTACGATTTGAATCAATATGAGAATGATGAGAATTAGTCGTGCTCGTCTTAATGCTTTGATTAGACCGAAGTCACTTTGATTGGATGTTAATTGTTGAATTGATTGTGAAATAGTATTATTCTTATGATTTTTAAATGATTCAACAATATTCACACGATCTTCAGACATTTGATACTGCATTGTTGTCAAAAATAAGGACTTTAGTTCTTGACAATCAAATATATTGTAATGAAAATTCGAATAAAGGAAGTTGATGTTTAATGAATAATACGAATCACTAATGTATGTAAACAGAAAAGAAAAATGTACCTTTTTACCAATACGTCATTTAACAAAAAAGAAAAACAAAACCCACGTTTGAATGGTGGGAAGACTGTGTAATCATTCTTTCCCTCTTTTATATGTTAATTAGTCATATGTAATATTTTTCTGTACAAGTGAGGCGAATGTTTATTCGATTATATAAAAATTTGATCGATCACTTTTATTTTTATTATAGAAATGATATCATTTTTTTCTTCAAGTATCAATAAAGCATATTTGTCATGAAATATAGGAAGAAAAAAATATCTAAAGATACATCATTGTCATGACCTGCATGTTCTTTCGATTCAGTCATAAAGACTTTTTCTCTTGATCTGTAGTATTCTACATATGCATTAATGTTTCTTCTTCTTTTTCTTATTATTAGTCATGCGCTATGAACTTCTCCTTTCTTGTCATATATGTTGGATTTTTCTTTCTCTTCCATGTTGTTCTATGGATTTTGCTTTCTTTGTTCAACGTCTACGAGATTTTCCATTAAGGAGTTGTCCCATGTTATCGTTCTATACATATATTTGCTAGATACAGAATATTTGAAGAAATTTTCTTTTTTCTACAGACTGATAGTAAAAACAAAGCTTCATATTGCTGCACTATTTGACCATCCTTCATCTAATATTATAATAATAAAATTTTCATTAAACTTGTTGAGCTATGATATGTAACAATTTGATAGAAATAAGATTGAGCACTTTGCTTTTCACTGTTGGAAGACGAAGATAAACACGTATCGAATCGTATATTAAAAGCTTCCTGACCGATTTTTTAAACTTTCTAATCAATCTTTTTGAAAACCAACGTACTTTTGTGAATTGATCATAATGATTTTTCAATTATCAAACGTCCATTCAAAACACCAATCACAGTCGAAGATTTACAAAACTGCAAAAATATTAGCGGTTTATATTTTATCACTCAGCAGTTATAAGTATTCTTGTCAACAGTCTAAATCGACTTTCTAGAAATATTGTGAAAAAAAAACATCACTTTTTTTGTTTTCCTCTTTTTTTAAATAAAAGCTTATTTTTCCAATATGAAGAAAACTAATTGAAAAAATTTCAGAAATAATATTAGAAAATGCTAAAATATATGACAAGTCTAATAAAAATTTTATTATTATGATATTAGATGAATAATGATCAACTATTAGTTTAAAATTGAAAACTAAGCTTTAAAATGTCATTTGATAGTGTTGAAAAGGGAAGTATGGTCCGGGATGATTCTGTTAGATAAGAGCATTTGGATTCTGGTTGATATTTCTTCCGCTTTCGTGAAATACGAGCTAAAAGGAGTACTGAAGTATGTAGGGTAAAAATGTCGAGCCACTCATTCCACCAGAAACTATGACAGACATTTCTAATTAATAATTCATTATTGACCAAATAATGATTAATTAATGAAAAGTATATTGAAGGATATAGAAGAGAAGTGACAAGTATTTCGATAGTTTATTCTATATGACCAACCAAGATAATACGATCAAAATGTATGGAGTACTCCTTAACAAATGGAACAGACCAATCGTGTTTCACATTTTAATCCTCCAGGGATTGCAATAGCAGCTTTTGCGGAATGAAAGAATAGCGCTCCTATCCTGCCAGTAGTTAAACATGAACGGGATGCTATACTACATGCATTTGAAGTCTCATTTCTGTATCGTTATTATATTGTTTAACCAATAATTCGACGTCATTATCCAAAGATTCAATGGTCAAAAATTGTTAATGTTGTTAAACAAACTTCACCTAATTCGTTAGAATCAGGTAAATTATTTCTTCTCTTTGTCTCATAATCGAACAAAGTCTAAATCTTAATTTAGCTCATCGTCCACCATCACCAAAGATTGTGGCAAAACGACGCGAGTTTCAATCACTTTGTTCAATTGATCTGGATGAGCTTGTCCGTTTATCAAATATACGCAACGAAGTGATGCACATTCAAATCGCTAATATCGATGAACAAAAAATGTTATTGGAACAAATTGAACATTATTTAGACTCGAAATCGATCAGAGAGTTCAAAGACAGTATAAAATATATGTTAAATGAATTGAAAAATCATCAACTGGAGAAAATACAAAATTTTTTTAATTAATAAAGTAACTTTCACCTAAAATTTACCGCTTTCCATATTATCTACTTGACTGATGAAAGTTACCTGTGTCAATGTAGTCAACGCAATTTATTCTATTAGAAGAAAATGCTCAAGACTATTGATAGTAGAGAAGATAATTCTTATTGTATTGATTCGTTCGACAGTTTGTCTTTCAATATTTTCAATTCATTTAGTTGCATAGACAACAGAAGAGACTATTGCTTCTAATGTTGATCTGTTGTCTGTATGTGTATGCATTGATAGATGTGTTTCGATTGTGACGCAAAAAGTCTGACATGGGCATCGGTTACTTATGGTGTATTTTTATGTATTGATTATTTCACAAGACATCGTGATCTTGATGCTCATTTATCATTTACTCGTTCAACCAATCTTGATACTAGTTGGGATGGCTTCAACGTCGGTATGTTCTATTCGAATATTAATTTTCAATCGTTATGTTTTCTTGTATATTTAGAGTCATGCAAGTTGGTGGAAATACTAATGCTGTAAGTATTATATCATATGATGATCAATGAAAATTCTAAGATTGATTTTTTTTTAGGAAGCATTTTTTCAACAACATGGGTGTGAAACAAAAGATAGTCAACAAAAATGTAGTAGTCGAGCTGCAGAACTTTATCGTGAAAAACTTCATCAACTTGCTACTAAAGCGATGAAAGAATATGGAGCTAAAATAATGAAATATTAAGAAAGAATTATTTTTATGATATTTATGATATTTTTCTTTAGTTTTTTTTTTGATGAAGGACATAAGAGTAAACATAGTCATGCAACATCTGAAAAAAAAGAAGGTGATTTCTTCCATGAAAATTCTCAACCATCAACTAAAACTGGTTGAAATGATAATGTAACAATCTCTTCACATTCAAGCAATCAAAGTCTTGATTATCATCGATTGATCCAAATGCATTCAATAATGATGGTTCAGTAAAAACACTCGATCCAAAAAAAAACAACAATTGGTCAACGTCGACCACTAGTAGCAAAAAAGGTTTGTTTATCTGAATGATAGCTTAGTTTTGATTGTACTCTGTTTTTTGATAAAATAAATTAAATTACTGTTTTTTGTTTAGAAAGATTTTGATGCACAAAAAAGTGACAGGTAATTTCAAAGAAATCGAACGTAATATTCAAGAGCACGAAAAATTTCGTGAAGAAGCAGAAAAACAACTTGAAAAAGACATGTAAATGAATTATTTATAATAAAAAACAAATCATACTTTTATATTTTAGGGCAAATCTTAAATTTGCTTATCAAGATATAAATAAAAAACGTGAATTAGAAGAAGCTAAATTAAAACAATCAAATTCAAACAAAGCTGAACAAACGGAACGTCTTGGCATGGGATTTGGCAATCGAAGATAGAATTTATATTTAAATAAAAAGAAGAATAAATAAATTATTATCTTTTATGTATTTAGTGGTGTAAGTCATAGTACTATGACTGATATGTAAACAATTCAACAAGAAGGTGTAACAACAACAAGAAATGTTTCACTTGCACCACGAAATCGAAAAAAGAACGAGAGAAAGACCTATATAATTTTATATAATACTTGCCTAACTTAATGCTTTATTTAGTTATAACTACCTTTAATAGAAAAGAGTCTTTGTTAAGAACGAGCGTGATAGAAAACCATTTATCCTGAAAATATTTACTTGCTATTCGAACTTGCCATACTGACTAACTTGTAAATTATAACAAGGGATAAAAATTTTATCAATGTCTTATTAAATGAGATAAAACTTCGTCCATACAAAATTTAAAGATTATTAAAGAATTGTGAAATAGAAATCTACACGAACAAATCTTACATAAACATTCTATAAATTTTTTCTCAAGTTATCAATACTTGAATTATTTTCTTTTGTTCGTATTTATTGTCTTGTCAAGGCGACAATTATTAAATAGTTTGCTTGATAATCTATTAATTCTAATTAAAAATAAAACAAATTGTAGAGAAAAATTAACTGGAAAAAACTACAATAAATGCAGTAGATCAAATTTTCATTTTGTTTTTTTTCTCTTACATAGACTGAATGATAATCAATTTAAACCAAAATCTCTATCGAAAAATACGGATTCATTCAGTGCTGATTGGGAAGTTATTGATCGAAAAACTCCAACAAAAGAGTTTGAATCAAGTGGAAGGAATAGTTCATCATATTCCAATTATGGTAGTTCAACTACTAATAGTGCTGGATATAGGTAAAAAAAGATTTTCAGTAAAATATTATAAATCATTTTTATTAGTTCTTCATCAAAATCACAGCAGTGTTCAGACTTCCAAAAAAGGAAATTTCAGAAGTTTCGGAGATTTCAAGCATTTGTGTTCAGCATTTTACGTTACTTCCTAAAATGATGTAAGTTCCGAAATTTCTGAAATTTCCGCAATTATGTACTTACAGAAATTTCAGAAATTACAGAAATTACTAAAAATTCTGAAATTTCCAACATGTCTAAAAACTTTTGATTTGCACTGCTATATAGTTATCGAGCTGATGGAAATTTCAGAAATTTGGGTAATTTCCTTTTTTGGAAATCTGAACATACCTCAAGTTAGTTGGTTTCCAAGTGAAACATTTGCATTTCTTATAAATAAACAATAATCAATGTCACAAACAGATTAACAACAAAAAAAGAAAACTTTCTTTCAACCATTGAATAATCTCTACAGATATATTCTTATTTTTCAAAAGTATAATTTATATATCTTCAAAAAGAAAGACACATGTGTATTACAATGGCTAAACAACAATGAATGAAGGTGAAACATACATCAAAAAAAGAAAAATCTTATGAAAAAAAAAGAACTTTTTGTTGTTTCTCTTCTATTTGATAAACTTATATCGTTTCAAGAAAAAAACATTGAAAGAATAATTTCACGACATCAGTACAATGATAAAATATAGAACAATAACAATAACAACAAAAAAAAAAGATCTCGTTGGTTGTTTTGTTTCAATGACAATGTTCATTATAATCAATAATAGATGTACGACGCCAAGCAAATAAGAAATGACCTACACCAGCGCCGAGTATAATAGCCAAAAATAGATAAATATTAAATGTCATAGCTATTAACATTAATAAATAGCTAATACCCATTTGAAGAATATGTAAAATTGTTTGAATAAAATGCCGAAGACTCAATAAACGAGCTCTAAAAATATAACAAAATTCATTAATCAAATTCAACAAATCATTGAAATTCTATTTTTTGTTAATCAACTATGACTCACCGTTTATTAGTACGGACTTTTTCTGTTTGAACTCTTGGTATTAAATCATTATTATTAGAATTTTCATATTGTTGACCTTGATGTCGTAAACTAGAGTAGCAATTATAACAATCACCAAATTTTATTTCGTAAGAAAATTTTTACTTCATGTTAGCGATTAATTACATGAGCACATGCATATTATTTCTTTAAAATAAACTTACAGTGATGGTTGACCTTCACGTTCTTGACCACATTGACATCCGTCACGTTTTGATAATTGATCTCGAGCAGTTTTTAATCCTTCATAGAGTATAGCAACGAAAAAAATGAGAAGCCAAGATCCAATAAATGCTTAAAACAAAAAAACAAAAGCGAAATTTCTTTTTTGTTTTGTTTGAAATAAAAAAAACCCAGATATTAATTATTTACCAGTCATTGTTTGTGTATTCCATTGTTCAAATAAAATTTGTTCTTTAAAACCACCATGGAAGGTCATCTATTGAAAAGAAAAATTTTTCTTTTTTAGATTTAGAAATTTTAAATTTTCAAATCATGATCGTTGATTTCCGAATGACTATCGTTTAAGCAATCAGTAAATAAAATTGATGAATAGTCAATCAAATTAAAGGATAAGCCATAGGAATTGAAATGATCGAAGTCAAATTTGAAAAAAAAAATTATTTTCATAACGAATGACTCAAATCAAAATGATAGCTGGCATGAAAATATAGAACTCTGCGCATCAAATACAAATAGTATCTTTAACGTAATCAAAGAAAATGAAACATTTAGAGAAAAGACTTTATTTAATAGAGCAAGATGAGATGTCTTCGATCTCTTCATAATCTTCTTTTATCGAACTGCATTCTATTTACAGAAGGTTCAACAAGCATTTTTCTCTTCTTTCTATTGGAAATTTCGATGTTTTTGTCATGTTTGAAGCATTGGAATCTTCTATAAATTGAATGTAGTTCAATGAAGGAATGTTATGGAGAGATCGCAGATGTCTCACTTTACTCTATCAAATAAAATCTATTCCCAAAAGCTTCAAATAGAACCCAAAAAGCTGATTTTATTTAAAGTTATTTTTCATAATTAACAACAGATAATTTTAGTATTGATCTTTCAATATTTATACTAATCATTTATATATTTCTTTACTGTTTATTTTATCTATTTTATTGAGCAAAAATATCATGTTCTCTTTCAAAGAAATTTATCTTTTTAATAATATATAAAATATTTTGTAAAAAACAATATCAATATTGGCAAAAGGTAGAAAATTGACCGAATTTTACAATTGAAGATTAATAAGACCTTTTTGTTAGAGACCATAGAGCATTAATTGAAAGTAAATATACTTTGTGTTTTTTTCTTTTATCGAAATAATTGTCGACATTTCGATATTGACAATGTGCTGACTTCCTTCCGACATGCAGAATCTATTTGTATCACAAGGATAAAAAATTAACAAACTTCTTTTGTTTGATTAGTGTAAAAAAAAATGAAAAATAAGTAGACAAAGTATGTTATTTTCGTTCTTATAGATTCATAATAAAAACTTAAAATCATGTTTATTGATCAAAAATTTGCTTATTTTATATTCTTCGTAACTTTAGAAAATAGATTTCTTTAGTTTTTGACTATAAACTTATCTTAAACGATATGATTAAGCATTTTATGACTGTCTCTTACAAGAAAGTTATTTTTTCTTTTGGTTTGAATGATTACAGAAATAATCTATTTAATAAGCATTACAAATCTCTTTTTTTTTAGCTTTTCCAAATAGAATATGTTCTCAGCAGGAATTATTCTCCCATCTATGATTATATGCAAATCATTATAATTAATGTAAATATTTGAAAATTGAATACTCACTGACATCATCATATTATGAATCTGAGAACCACCATGTCCACTATGAACTGAGCTTGTATTTGTTTGTTCTTTTATCATATGATGAACATGGGTCATCATCGTAGTTGTAGTAGTAACAACCATCACTGGCTGATAATCCATATGATCGTGGTGATCGTGGTGATCGTGGTGGTCGTGATCCATTTTAGGTTCTAAAATTATAAATATTTTTATATATCTATAAAAATATAATTTTACATTTTGTTTAAAATCTATAAGTGAAAAAGATGAACGTTACAAATATACATCGAATCCGTTAATTATATTTTTCTTTCATCATTACTTTCTTTTCAATCAAGGCTAAAGAAACCAAAAACAACAATCAATATCATAACAATATTAAGTCCTTGAAATATAATCATCACTATATGTACGTATATACATTACAGAGTTAAAGAAAAACCACAAAACACTTTTTAACTAATCGCACTGAGTATGACTGCAGTCGATAGACAGACGTTAAATAAAGGAAAAGAAAAAGAAATAAAAATATTTATGCGTTGTAATACAAAAAAAGGCAGAAATACAGTCAAAAAAATTTAAGTAAATTTACATAGTCGTTGGAGTTTTTGTTGATGTCGAACTAGACTCATCAAGTACTTTTTTTTTCTAATGCACACAAAAATATGCATACCATAAAGAAAAGAATGGCTTACAAAGAATCGAAAGCGTTTATAAGGGTAGAATCAGGATGCCAAATGAATGAACCAATAAAGTGTACATGTCGCTCAGTGACGAATGAGGGCGCTTGTATTTGGATTAAAGTAAATGCATGAGAAGAAAAATCTTAAGTTATTAACATGATAAAATCTCATTGTTCATAGATCATTTGATGAGTAAGCAAATTTTAAAACTATTTGATCAATGATCTTTTAATGAAAAAGTGCAGTCAGTGTAATAACATTTTGAACTCATTCTGTTCATAGTGTCTAAATCTCTTTCAACCAAAATAAGAGGTATTTTTTTCTTCTACTATTCAAAATAGGATCATTATTTCTATTAAAATATCATTAGAAGAATTCCATTCATGACTTTTTATAATCTTATAGAAACGATTTAAAGAAATTGAATAACATATGAAATCTTTAGTAGAAATTTACCTGTAAGATCGATTGAAAAAAATTTACAGTTCTCGTTTTCAAAGTCAATAACTCGATCTAAAACGATATTAATATTCTTATTCTTTTAATCTATCTTTTGATATTATGTAATTATAACAAGTGTTCATCGTCACATTTGTCTAACTTTGATTGTCATATTATACTGTTACTGTTTGTGATGTATATGATTATTACACAATAGGTTTGTAACGAAAGAGAAGAACCTATTATGCTTATGCAGATTAGATGAGAAACTATCGAAGCGAATAACACAGAGAATTACGATAGTTGTTTTTGTTTGGAAATTTGTTATGTCTGATTTTGAGAAAAAAAATCAAAGTCGAGCTTTGCTTATGTGAGAAATAATCAGAACTTTTTTTGTATTTACTATATTTTTGAAATAGAGAGTTTACACTTGTCTTCTAGTGTTAATTCATGAAATATGGTTCGGCAAATAGCATAACATGAAGTTTTAAAAAAATCCTACTTTTTGTTAAAAAACATAGAAAAATATATGAGTAATTCTGATTGATTTGTTTCTTCAATAATACTTTCGACAAGATCTTGATTATTTCAAATGGGGTTTTAGGGAAGCAAAATTCAATTACATAGAATTTTGATTGACAATAAAAGGAAAATCAAATCAAACGAGGAAACCTTTCAAGATATCTCCTTCCGATTTCATTTATTTTTGTCTATAGACATCACACAGTGTTCTAGTAGAAAACCCTAAAAGAATTTGTGTCCCTATTGAAATTTGGTGAAGTTATAGAATTTTAATATGTTGATGTCATAGTGATCCTTTCAGGACCTCAGATTTTCTTGAAAACCTGCCGTCCTACAGGAATCTCTTGAAAATATTTATAGTAAAAATTCGATAACTTTGCCAAATCTTAATAGAATTCCGAATCATTTCGGAGATATTATTAGAACACCATGTAGTGTCTATAGACAAAAAATCATTGAAATTAGAAGTTTAACATCTACAGGATTACATAGCTAGCGACTAAAATATAAGAAAAGTATATTAGTATATAGAACTAAGATGTCGAAAATTCATTTCTTTGAGATCGAGAACATCTAAGTCCTTCGAGAATGTCTTTAGATTATCATAGGAAAGAAACTATTTCTTTAGAATAGAAAGAGTCGCTATGATTTTCTAGTTTTATATGATACAACGGATTCAATTATTCTTTTCATGAACCTTCGAGTAAGTATTGCTTTTCTTTCTCTAGTTCTATATTACAATGCTACTTTTCAGTCAAATGCGAAAGCTTATCAAATGTGTGTACATATATCAATCTTTATGATATTACATACGTAAGAATGAGTCATAGAGTAAAATATATTTGCGTTAACATGCAAGACAATTTGAGAATGATCAAAAAACGAAACATATGTAGTAAACATACATACCCTGCTTTATAAGATGAACGTCTTCACCAGTCGATCATCTACGTACATTAAAAGTACAATCAAAACTGAAGGATATAATGATTATCTGATAACTACTAGGCATATAGAAGCATGAATACTAATAAGTATAGGCAAATTCGAAAAATTGAATGATGTGGTTGAGTCAATATAATATGGATTATATGAGAGTGATTTCACTTTAATGAGATATCAATGAATATACGCCGAATAAAAAACATTATATTCTTGCATGAAGCAGCATGTACACTATAAAATCTCGGAAATTTTCATGGCGATATAGAATCACTTTGATAATAGTTTTCGTAAATACGATATTCTTTTGCATTGACATGTAGAGTTTAGCAAAACTCTAGTCATATTGCACAAACACACAAGCATGTTGCGTGCGACAATTTTCAAGGATAAGAGCCATGCAAAGCCTCGTATGTTTTGCTCAAAAAAATTAAAGAATTGTATTTCCATGCACACGTTTGCGACATGTGTGTCTATGATGCATGTGCTATTGTCTTGCATTCATGCGCGACAGTTGCAAATATTTTACAAAGCTTGCATATTTATGCATAAGATACGACGACTTGAAAAATATTTTGGAAGTGAACGCAAGTTTCTAAAAGTGTCCTGCAAATACATGTGTTTTTAAGTTTTCGCGTTGGACTAGGTAGAACATGGTTATATTATCGATGTATGAGTAAGAATGGATTTAAAAATTTTTATATATTAACAAATCAAGGAGAGCGTGTAACCAGAGAAAGAGAAGGAACAAGGGAGAAAGATGCGAGGCGAAGAATACGGCGTAATTTTACTGTAGTCCTTCTATAGAAGTAAATGTGTATATACATATATGAAGAGCAGTGGACAATTGTATTATATGATATTACACGAGTAAAGAAAAAAATTGATCCTATCAGAACAACAAAAAATATAATGAATGATATCAACTATAGAAAAGATATGCAGAATGAGTGGTAAGAAATATAAACTATAATAGAACGAAAAAAATGATATGTGAAAGGTGGGGTTTGTAACAATTGTCCTCTTCTCACCCAAACAAAGATGTATGTCTGCACACGTGATTCAGGAAAAAAGAAGCTGTTTGAGAGTATCTCATAACGATATAACATAATTATAAACTTGAACATTGGACAGAACGACACGAAAAGAAAGAAAGAAAATGTAACGCATGTTTCATATGTACAACAAATAAAATCTCACTGTTTATCATTGGAGAGAAAAAAGAAAAGACAAAGTCATTGTCCATAAGAAGAAAAAAAAATCTTCCCTTTTGTCATTGATAATATGACCTCTTGTTGATTCTGTAGTAATGTTTCTCTATGAACATTCTATTGTATAATAATTCATCCACTTGTTTTCATATCGTTTCATTCTTCAGGTCTAAGAATAGAGAATGACCGACCACATTGATGTTTATATAATAAATGTTCTTAATTATCAGATTTAATGGGCAAACATTTGAATATATATAAAATAATTTTCACAACAGCGATCAACATTTTATTAAATATTTAAATAAATAACTTATAATAAAAAAAATTACAACTAATATAAACTCGAGCTTTCGATGTATTTAAACATCGTTTTTGAGAGAAATATGTAAAATTTACGATAGAATCAACGAAAATGAAAGCATATTGGTTTATCTACTTATATATACCTTATTTGTACTTGATCACCCTCACGACTCATCACAGAAAAAACTTCTGTATGTTCCAGAAGTCTTTTTCCTTTTCATACATTCCAGAAATATTATTAGTGTAGTTGATCTAACACTTATGTTTAAATTCGGTTTTAAAGCCATAATAACTAATGATTTCTTGATACGTAATCTTTATGCAGATCTATCTTTATATAATATATCCCAATCTATATAATTTATCTAGTGATTTAATTCAACTTCATGTTTACCTGAAGCAGATTTTAGATTAGACCGTTTATACAGATTCGTATATCATCTTGTTATTTGATCATCTTCATTTTCAGATATGTCTTTATATACAATTGTCGATAGTACTATTAATTGATTCAATGATGTACTTTGATGATCGAATTCTGTAACAGCAAAACAATCATTCCGTGAGCACATTGTCATACTATAGAAGAAAATGTGTACATATATATATGAAGAGTGACAGACAACTGGATGATATGATGTCACACGAACAACGGAAAAAATTAGGTCTAATCACAACAACAAAGAATATAATAGATGATATCATTTATAGAAAAGAAATGCAAAACGAGGAGAAAAAAGCATGAACTATAATAGAATGAAAGAAATGATATGTAAAAGCAGTGCCTGTAACAAATGCATAGTCCCATTTAGGACAAATTAATTTTTATGTTAAAGGCAAGAGTTACAATATATGATTCACTGTTTTTACTGACTTCCATTGTATAAAAATCATGCTATCTGTCTTAAAATTCTCTATTCAACTAATAACTATTTTTATTTAAAGAAAAAAAAACTATGACTACGTAAATTTCTTGCATAGTTTGTGTTTACTCTTGTTCAAATATATAAGTATACGGTCTGAATATATTTCTTTTTATTAGTTATAACACAAGTGATATGATATTTCTATTTAATAACATTTTTTTTTTCATTTCCTCTTTTCTCTTTATAATTTCTTTTATAAATTGAATAAAAAAACTGAAAAATTTATTGTTGCATGGCATATCATTTAAGTTATGTGAAGTGTGTAATGCTTAACATAAAAAGCAAAGAAAATGAGAAAAACGTCAGGTCTCTAGTGAGAAGAACTATTTCTATCCGCATCAAATTTTTTCTGAAACAAGAAAATTAATAATGTAGTCGAACAAGACAAAAAAGCAGAGAAGAAAATATAGACCTTTGAAACCATTTATATAAAAGTGTGAAAAAAACAACTCATTTTCTTTTATATTCATTTCAATTGATGCATACCGTTATAAAAAAATAAGAAAATATGTTAGCATATCATAATGCATCCATGGGTTTTGGCGCTATGCATACAGATGACATATTATCATATGATAATAATCACGGTTATACGAATTATCAACATCAATATGAACTTAATCAATTAGAAACATCAAGAACTCAACAATGTTTAAAAAAAACAACAAAATTTTTACTTTCACACATTGGTTTAGTTGGTCTTGTTGTTGTTTATGCTGTAGCTGGTGGATTTTTATTTCAATTACTTGAAGAACGCCAAGAAAAACTTAATTGTCAAGAAGCACAAAGTGAACAAATTGTCGAAATAAACAATTTGAAACAAAAAATTGTTAATTATATACAAAAAAATACAACGACATCAACAGATTTTTTTGCAGTTGGAAAAGATAATACAACAATTGCATTTGCAAAAATTGGCTCTATGTTATATGAATATCGAGAATTTATTATTGGTATAAATTCAAAATATCAATATTATGTTGATGATTGTGGACATCTTCGTCAATGGAGTTATGCTAATTCATTACTTTTTTCAATTACAGTTATAACAACTATTGGTTATGGAAATATAACGTAAGTTATAGATTTTCTGATAATATATAAAAGAAAAATATTTTTTGTTTTCTAGACCAACGACATGTAAGTCTGAAACAAAATTTAAATTTTTAAAAATTGTATCTCTAAATATCTTAGGGGAAGGTCAATTATGTTGTATATGTTATGCAACAATAGGTATACCAATATTTCTTTTATGTCTAGCAAATATAAGTGGTGTACTTGGCGAAATGTTTCGTTTTCTTTATGCTAAAGTTTTATGTCTACCATGTTTAATTGTAAGACATCATCGTACATTAGCAAATAAAGTTAAACTTGGAGAAGACAATGGAATAAGTACAGATCGTGCAGATCCTAATGATAGAACATTAGACGATGGAAATAAGAAAAATCCATTAAGAAAATTATCAAATAGAATAGTAATTGATGATGAATTATATGAAGAAGAAAATCGAAAATATCATCGTGTTGCTGTACCATTAACAATTACAATGCTTATTATTGCAGCATATATATGGATTGGTTCTGCTTTATTTCATAATTTTGAAGATTGGTCGATGATGGAAGCAGGATATTTTTGTTTTATTACATTGGGTAAGAAAATTTTTAAAAAATATAAAAACAAAAAATTAAAATTTCTTTTGTTTTGTTTTTTAGCAACGATTGGATTTGGTGATTTTGTAAGTAGATAGAACAGTTTTGTTTTCGTTTGACTTTCTCCTCAAAAAACAAAAAAGAAACAATATTAATTTAGACTCCCGGTCAACGAAAAGGCGATGTCAATTCAAGTCCAAAACTTCTTCTTGGAGCTGTATATGCTCTTTTTGGAATGGCTATCTTAGCAATGTGTTTCGATTTAATGCAAGAAGAAATAGTAGCAAAATTTTATTGGATTGGTACAAAAATTGGTATTATTGAAAAATATGATGAAAATAATAATCAAATAGATCAAATATCTAATACTAATACTAAAAATAAAAATCGTTCATCAACATCAACATCATCATCATCATCAATCAATGATTCTAATATAAGAAGAAATACAAATCGTACAATAATTGATAATGAAAATGAAAATGATTTATCAAAACAACATCATTCGACTGTAAAACGTAAAATTAGTCCACGATATAATCCAGCTCGTATTCATCCAATAGAATCTGGTGGAGGTGATGAAGCAACTCCTTATCAACGAGTAACTGCTACAAAATTTAATTAACTTTTATTTTCTTAACTTGTATATATAACAAAACATATATATATATATGTATATCGAATCTTACTTTAGCCTGTTCTATGTGAAATAAATCATTATATGAGCTAATTACAATATTATTGTATCGTTCCATTCTGATATATAAAAGTTAAATATCTTGAATTGTTCTCAATTAGTCTTTATAATTTTTTTAGATTAGATTCTTCATTATCACACATACACACACAAATAAGGATTTATCATGGATAAATCTCAACGAGGGAACATTTTCAAGTGATCAGTTGCTTTCTGATCAAAGCCTAGCAGATTATAGGTTATCAACCATGCTGATTCCGAATATGGTCATGAAAAATCTTCTTAGGTCTTCATATGCTGGTTTTCTAGACTAATAAACTTTTCTCTGAGAATTTTATTTTTTGATCTGTCTAGATTATAGAGCATAACGAATTGTCCAGAAAAGACAGCCATTTTGATTCATACAACAGATATATATATCAACATTTCGATATCAAAATCTTCAAGATGATATTATTTTACTTGGCACTCGTTTCTGGAAAATAGAACAGGTTTCTTCTTTTCTTGTTTAAATTTTGAAAGTTGATTAAATTACAAGAAACAATCTATAATTTTCGAATATAAGACTGAGTGACATTTATATAAAGATTTTTCTCATGTTTATTTTTCTGAATATCAATTGTACAATTATTGTCTGATTAAGAATAATTCGGAGATTGAATATTTCATCTAAAAATGATCGAAGTATTACTGATTAAAAGTTTTATTATTTCTTGTTTATAAAAACTATGAAAGAAAATTTGAAATTTTGATTGTTATACAAGATTTTTCATTTTGCTGGATCTATAATTCTCTTATGGTATGGCGATTTGAGATGAAATTTTGATCAACCTCCATTGAAAACATCAGCGCCAGAAAACATATGGCTCATAAAAAAAAAGAAAAAATAGTATCAATGTGTCACGCAAAATTTTCTATGAGAAAAGTCTCAGGCGAAATTATAGTAAGATGTATAATATTTCAGGACCAACGTTACTGTGAACTGATTCTAAATTGTGCCTTATGGAATCTGCTTAGTGCAAATGACGTCAGATCACGAATATATACAGTAAAATCTCTATTAGTGAATATCTTCCAATTATGAACGGTCTCGGATTTGACTGAGCAATTTTAGCGGAAAATGCCGCTCTCTAGTATAAACAGATGTGTTATTTTAGAAGACTTTCTTCATGACACAGTAAACCATGCGTCAATTCGTCTAAACTAAACACCTTCGTATAGCAAACGTTTTTTTTTTGACGATCTGGATGTTGTTCGTCATAGACAGATTTTATTGTAGCATAAAACACATATTATTCAATTGATGTGGTTAAGATCTATTGAACATTGAGTCTTAATCGTATATCATGACACGTAAATAAAGTTCTTTCTACCTGTAATCTCAAGTACTTTTAGAGATTTTGAACAATTCTTGCATGCTTTGGCTATACTATGATAATATTATTTTACAGAACTAAATTTATTTCCTTCGCAAATTGACTTATAACATTTAGAAACTCTAAATCTTGGATTGAACTCTTCATTTTTCAACCGTACACGCACTGGGCTACTTTTTTTCAAATAGTAGTTCGTTTTCAGCTTATCGATAACTTTGTTGACCGTCGAAATATAATCAAAATAAGACGATTCTGACTGGTCCATTCGTGACGGAATCATGTTTGTCCAAACGTTCATTTCTTCAAACAGTTAACTTTAGTTTCTCAGAACAGACAAACTGGTATCATTTGTTAACACGGAAACATGAAAAACATTTTTCATTATCTTTCTGATAGCATAAAACGTCTGTTATGAAAACTTGAGATACATAATAAATAGTATTTTCGAAACGCTGCCTTCAATCATGATAATGAAAACAACTTGGAATCATCATAAACAAACTTCATAATTAAGCAGTGAGGTTTTAAAATCTCTTCGCCTATTTAGACATATATTACAGACAAAATGAGGGTGTGGATGTGTACCAGTGTCTTCTCTTCACCTACACGCCCACACTTACATCAATATTCACAGCCCATTCGCAGGCAAAATTGAAGAGCACCTACAACTGTATTAAATTAAGTTTATCCTAGAATATTTTAGGAACTACAATGTCTATGAGTACTATATATATATATATATTCCTCAAGGATTATAACCAGTATATGAACTCTTGGCACATCAATATTTGAGGAAAACTTGATTTTGTATATATCATTCGATGAACAGCAAATTCGCTGTACAGACCCATGTAAATGGTATCCTAATTCAAGATAGATTGCTAAATCTGGCGAGGTTCTTTGTTTTTGGCTAAACATAAACCATGAAGACACTCATTAGATGAAGCATTATTTCATATGCAATTAAAACAACTTTCAGTTAGAAGATTAATTAGTGAGGAATGCATGAAACTATCAACAACCGAATCAACTTTAATCTAATGGTTTCTTCGGATAAATCGATTTATTTATTCTTCATAATATTTCAAAAAATTATAAGTAAGAGGAAAGAAGAATGAGTTCCATCGACGAAATGTGGACTATTATTATGTTCCCAACATTTCATTGTTTAATTACTGTTGACCATATCGTGAATTATTGTATGGTGCAGTATAATTTCGGTAACCATCGGGTGCTTGATAGTAAGTCGATCCATTACTATTTTGATAGTAATATGAACCATCGCGATTGCTGTAATGATATGAACCTGTAAAAAAATAAATTGCGCATATAGCCCTTGAAAGCAATTATAGCAATATACCTCCTTGAGCAGCTCCTTCTCCTCGATGATCATATCGATTACCATATTGATTAACACCTCGTTGCCAGTTTTGTGAATTTTGATTTGATGACATGTCGAGTAATAGATTATTTCTCTTGTGAAGTTTGTTAACTGCAGACCAGTGTGAAAAGCAATTAATAAGTGTATGCTATTCTGGCGCCTGTTTATGTAGATAAGGATATTTATTTCATTATCTTCACTCACTTTGATATCTATATAAACAGAGATAAGGATTCTACAAAAATAGTGTTATGATAGCAAAAAACGTAGAATGAAGTTTACCTTTTGATCTTGTAGACAGTATTTTTATTCGTCTAGAATATTCTTATTTTCATTCACATTTCGTCATTTTTTGCCTATCTGACTTCACAAAATTCACTAAATAGATACATTGTATTAACTGGACAAATATAGCAAATCTTCTGTGACATATTCATGCTATCCGAGGATTCTTTTGCTGATGTATGATAAATCGTGAACAAATGACCTAGTCATTAGTTTAAAAGCTGTACAAATCATAAAACTTTTATCAAAATCAGAATATGTCATCAGATGAGCTGACAATTTTCTATGTATATGTCTAGGCGTAATTTTGTTCTCTGCTTGATTTCAAGTAAAGCTCGCATCACTGTACTTTCAGTAATGTATTAATTGGTTTACATGAGTTTTATTTGAAAGATTTAGATTTAGAGTAAGAAAAAATGATTGAAATGATCAGTGTTCTCAATATTTAAGTTTTGACAAAATTCCGAGCAAGAAATTCAAACATCAATGTTCATCTTGGAACTTTCTGTGTCAGATAATCGTCAAAGCTGTTTGGTTCAGGGAATAATGAAAAAAAACCGAACATTTTCTTCTAAATACAAGGAGATGTGGATGTGATTTCGAGTGTTAACCTTCTCTGCATAACAACAACCTTCGATGTACACCTCTTCGTATGATTGATGTGAGTATACAATGTTAGAGAATATGATGAAGACGATTTTCATTTGACATGCAAAAAATTTCGAAAATCTAGAGTCAAAATATTTTTCCGAGTTATAAATAAGTTCATAGAACTCATCGCATTCAATAGGAAAAATAGATTTTTCAATCCTAATTAAGCTCAATGTGATCAGAATATGAAGAAAATGTAAAACCATTTTAAGCTACCGATAAATATTGTTATTTTTTCATCACAGCAATCATTAGAAAAGAAAGAAAGAAATGATTATCTAGACCTAACAATCTTGATTAACAACAAAATGAAATTCTCATCCATCATTTCTTCGTGTGAGAACATAGCGAATACTTATTTACCAATACATTATACCTAAAATAAATAAGATATGCACGCTTAGTTTTTCTCATTTTATATTGACTAGACGGAAGTACAATCTCATCGTATTGATATCCTGTCAATACATAGGTAATGCATTTTATTGCATGTAAACATCGAAGCGAAACAGTTGATTTTTTTAAACCTATTTCAGAACGAATCCTAGAGTGACTTTCATACTATGGGATGGTCGGCATAATTCTAACTTTAGCAGCTACTACTGAATGTCTTACTACAAGAATGTCGTGTCATAAGACGACAATGCAATGTTGTCCAGGATACGTGATCTATCGTAGATAATGTATGGACATATTCAGTCAAAAATTGACATCGACTAATATACTCCTAATAACCTCGCTGTTAATTTACGTTTATATATGCAATTACTATCTATGTTATTCTTGCTTTGCAATTGTGTTACAAAAGTATTGAATATTGCTGCATCTCACGGATACTATGTGATCATTTGGACTATGGTAATTATGTTGCAGATAGACACAGATGAATTCCTGTTTCTAAACCCTATCCTTTCAATCTAATAGAATATGCTAATTTAACTTTAACTACTGTATCAAAGTGTTTGTAAAGTGAAAGTGCCATTCCTAGTCATGTCCTTTCTGACGAAGCTAAAATTTCAGCAGTGTTCAGACTTCCAAAAAAGGAAATTTCGAAAGTTTCGGAAATTTCAAGCATTTGTGTTCTGAATTGCACGTTACTTCCTAAAATGATGTAATTTCCGAAATTTCTGAAATTTCCAATATGTCTAAGAACTTTTGATTTGCACTGCTATATAGTTATCGAGCTTATGGAAATTTCAGAAATTTGGATAATTTCCTTTTTTGGAAATCTGAAC